TAATTTTTGTATTTTTAGTAGAGATGGGGTGTTACCATGTTGGCCAGGCTGGTCTCGAACTCCTGACCTAGTGACCTGCTCGTCTCGGCCTCCCAAAGTGCTGGGATTATAGGTGTGAGCCATCATGCCCAACCGATTCCCTACCTTTATTACCTTCTCCTCTAATCGAATCCATTCCACATTTGTTGCATTAATTTTATTGAAGTTGAACTCTTCCTTGACAAGAGTATTTTAAAAAGTATCCAATAACTCCCTGTTTTCCACATAATGAGGTTCAGAGTCATTAGCCTTACTTTCAAATCTCCCACCCTTCAAACCTCATCCTAATTTGCTGACTTTATCTCCTATAGCCCCCTTCACAAACAAAATGATTTATTTGTTCCCAAAACATTCTGTTCATTTCACTGACTGTGTCTTCTATTCAGAATTCAACTCCCCTTCCTGTTCTCCATCTTGCAAACCTTACCTTGTCTTCAAGTTCCTTCTTGTAAACTACGTTCCCTTTTAAACCTTCTTTAGTTGTCTGCAGCATGTAAGTTCTCACCTTTAAAGTGACTCTCTTGCTTCTGAACTCCAATATCACTTTCTCTTAATGTTTCTTATCACTTTGCACTTTCTAGTTTGTATTCTAATTAATACATGTTATATTTATCCTACTAGATTGTGACCTTTATAATCATGATACCAAATATCAATACCTATTGAATTTTTATGGGTCAGGGTTACTGAGAGGTACTATAGGACCTAGTACATACGAAAGGCTTTATAAATGTTAGCTATGTTAATGTTGCTGTTGTTGTTTCTTTTTTTTTTTTTTTTTTTTGAGACGGAGTCTCGCTCTGCCGCCCAGGCTGGAGTGCAGTGGCCGGATCTCAGCTCACTGCAAGCTCCGCCTCCCGGGTTCACGCCATTCTCCTGCCTCAGCCTCCCGAGTAGCTGGGACTACAGGCGCCCGCCACCGCGCCCGGCTAGTTTTTTGTATTTTTTTAGTAAAGACGGGGTTTCACCGTGTTAGCCAGGATGGTCTCGATCTCCTGACCTCGTGATCCGCCCGTCTCGGCCTCCCAAAGTGCTGGGATTACAGGCTTGAGCCACCGCGCCCGGCCTGTTGTTCATTTTTTTAAAAAGGTAATCCTGGGCTTACCCATTGTGCTTTCAAAAATCTTCAGCTTCAGAAGTAACACAGAATCCAACTGTGTTTTCATCACTCAAAACTTTCACTTCCTTTCTTTTATGGATTTGTTTTCTGAAAATTTGTAGAGGAAGGCAACAATCAGAGACCAAGCTACTTATTTGAAACCACAGCTGTGTGACCTCAGGCACGTCAATTCCTGTGTGCTTCAGTTTCCTCATCTATAATGTGGGAATAATAATAGTATCTACTTCACAGGGTCATTGTGATTACGTAAGTTAATGGGAATTAAGTGCTTATAACAATGTTTGATACATAGTAAATACTTTAAAATTGTTAGCTATTATTGTTATTGTTATGAAAGGAACAACAGCATGAAACAGGCACTTTGACATACACTGTGTCATCTAATCCTCAAAACAACTCCTTAAGGTAATAATTACTTTTTGTTTTGCAAACAGGCCAAAGCTCAGGAGAGTTTAACACTCCTCTGTGAGTACACAGTACAGTCAGAGCATAATTCTAATCCAGATGAATATGTTGTACCCTAGAAAACTAAGAAAATACTAATGTTAATGTTCTGAAGAGCTAAGAACATGCATAAATGTAGACATAGGAGGCAACTGTCTATAAAGCGTGATTTGAAAAAGGCCCTGCCACAAAATCCTTCCAGTTCCTTCAGTTTCCTTCTCTTCCTTCCTTCTCTGTCCAAGGTCTTTAGTCCTACTGCTATTACTTCATTCTACAGGTTAAGCATTACTCTCTTTAGACTCTTGGAAGGAATAGCATCTCAGCATAAATGAGTTTGTCACATTAATACTAACAGGCATTATTTGAAGAAAGGAATCCCCAAATGTGAACCATTTTCCTTAGGGCAGCTCTGATATAGTGCACTCCATTCAGGAAACCTGATCTAACCTGTATTCTCCATCTCAATTCGGAAGCAGCAAGTTTAGGGTAACTGACATAGGCCTAGATTCACATCACAGCGTTGCCACTTCCTAGCCACATGACTTTGGGCAAATCACTGATTCTGTTTCCCTATCTATAAAATGGGGCTAACAATATTTCTAGTTTAGAGAGCTGTAATGATTAAATGATTTGATGCACACAAAGGGTTTACTGCAGTTCTTGACACCTGACAAGTATTTAAGCAACACTAGCTGTTTTATTCTAGCTTCTGTTGGCTTCAGTGAAGGATAAGACCTAGCTTCTCACTCACTCAATGGGAGCTTTATCAGTGTGGTAAAAAATAATCATAATCATAACCATACCATTAACATTTATACGGCTTTAACTTTTTAATAAGAACTTCATAAATATTTTTGGTACTCCATAATTGAGGTAAACAAATAGCTTATATTCTCTACTTCATGTATGATGAAACTGAGGCCCTTTGTCAAAGGTTTAATGACTTATCCAAGATCACATCTTCAGTGAGCAAAAGCACAGACTAGGTCTAGATACTCTGGCTCATGACTTTTCCATTCAACTAAATTAACTCTAAGGGATCTAGATCTGAACTCTCATAATTGTCTAGTTCTTTTGCTTGCAGCCTTTACCTGTTATGTACTTTTTCTTCCTCTGCTAATGGCCTTCCCTTTTCTTTCCTCAATACAATCACCTTGTCTTTTCTATTTTAAGAAAAACACATGAGTGACTTAGACTTGCCAGTAACTTTTTTATGTTCAGCATAATGTGCAATCACAAATATGATTTAATTCATTGTTATCCATTTCTTGATCAATTTCAAGTACTTGATACATAGCATGAACACTATGCATACAAAAGTATCTTTCACCAATGTGGAAATAGAAAGCCTGTCCAGGAAGGAAATGGCTCATAATTTTCAATTGATAAAACTGAGTAGCAGAAAATGACTAAAAAGTAAAGGTTTTCCATTGTCTGCTTTTTTTTTCCTGTTTTTTTATTCTCTTTCGCCTTTTTTCATTTTCTTTCATTTGTTCTTTTTACTCTCAGAACACCAGATTAGGAAAGAAAGTCAGGGCTAGCCTTGGGTTTCAATTGTCCTGTTAATAGCATCTGGGCCTTGTTACATGGTTTTCCTTTATGGCACATAGAATCATATCACAATGTAATAGGGGTCACAGTACTATTTTTTCCTTAATATTTTATTTTCTTGAAGGTGAGGTCAAGGAGTGGTGGTGATAAGTAATTCACGTAGGAAAGAGCCAAAGACAGAAAAGTTTCAGATCATCAGTTATCAAGGAGGGAAATAGAATATGATCATTTTCTTTCTCCCACTTTCCCCCACATCAGTGGAACTAAAGCAGGCAGATGTTGTCCTTCACTGGTCTCTGCTAGACAGATTTCATGACTGTATGACTTTGCTATGTCTCACTTTTAATCAACCAACCAACATTAATCAAACTTTTGGAAGCATCCTTATCAGTGCTGCATAATCCAGCTCTGTGATTTACTGATTCTTTCAGCTCCTGTTTGTCTCTTGTTTGGCTTTCATGTAGGGGAGCAGAGATCAGTCACTCTAGGAGCTCCCATGTATTGCTGTCACTCCACCCTGCTGCCTGTCCCCACATACCTGCAAGATGTGTTTCTATTAACCAACACTGAGATAGTAATTGATCTGCAGGAACCCATTCTTCAGTTCCATTTAGGTCACCTAATCTGTTTGCTGTTCACTGTCCAAGGGAATTAATTTAACATACACAAGTGTGACAAACTCCCCAACATTCAATATAGTTACTAGCTGTCTTGAAGTTTTTGGGGCATTCAGTCATTGGCTACCCACGGAGACTCAAGAACAATGAGAGAACTCTTCCAAGTTGTTTTGTTTTCTCCTTTCCCATCTCTCATATTTTTAAAATAACCTGATGGGAAAGTATTTAATTTGTGTGTCTGAGAACTATGCATTATTATGATCAAAGGGAGATAATATAGAGTTCCGATTTAAATCAAAAGCAAACCTTTAATGAATGCCACATTATTATGGAATTATGAACTAAACAGTGTGTGCCTTAACAGTGGCTGGCATATTTCATGCTTTGTGTTTGCTGCAAAAAACATTTTGTAAATTTGTAGCTTTTTCTGATTCCCAAGGTTCTCTACAAAGAATCACAGTGATATACATTTGTAATGTGTCCAATTAGGTTTTCCAATAATATTTTATTTGGAAGATATTCCCAAATTAAATATATACTCTGTCTATGTATGCCTGAGATTCTCAATGCTCCCTTACTGGACATTGTTCAAACAACAATCTGTTTATTTTATATGAGGGTGAATGCAATAATGTTTCTTAAGAGAAAAAAAATAAAGACAAAACAAGTAAATTGTGATTCACTCAGTTCCCTAAAGCAGACACACCATGTTTTGACAGTCCCTGTCTGGCAACATCTGGCATCTCATGTATAGTAAAGAGTAGCAAGACGCACTGTGAATTAGCTTAAAGAGGAAATTATATTTGTTTCATTTGCTTGAGGCATTTAGCAAAGTCTTCATCTGCATTATTTTGTCAACAAAATTTGAGTTTAAAGAGAAATATACCAACAATATTTTCACCCCAATTTTAGGATTCATTTTCTATAGGTCACAAATGAAAAGAAATTTCTTAAACTTAGATGTCATCACACCCACTTTTAAACAATAGAATAAGAGGCAGGAACCATAGGTTTCTGTTCCAGCTCTGTCAGTTTCCAGCTGTAAGGCCTGGGGCAAGAAAATGTGGCTTTTTTTGCTACAGCCAGTGGCTTCAGTCAAATACAGAAAACTGATGCCTTTTTACTTTCAAATTATACAAAATCTTTCTCTTAAAAAATAATTATTGCTCTTTTGTTTTTCCTACTGAATCATTTAAGAGTAAATTGCAAAAATTATGACTCTTCACTTCTAAATATTTCAGTGTGTATTTCCAAACAACAAGCACAGATTTTTACATGATAATGGTACAATAATCAAATTCAGACATTTAACATTGTCCCTTTGTTCTTGCCCTTCTTGCTACCTGGAATACCCTTCCTTTCCTCCAACATTCATCTTCCAAGGTCCATTTTCTTCACAAAGCCCTCTCAGATTCCTCAATGCCACACCGAAGAATAATGAAGTTTTAAAACATTGAAGCAAGAAAGAGAGTTTACTCCGTTGCTTCTGTCATTTTCTAGCTGCATGATTTTAGGAAAATTATCTTCTCTCTCCAAGGCTATGTTTCTTTATCAATTAAATAAAAATAAATATTTACTGACTTAGGCTTACCTGGGGATTAAATGAGATCATGTATATACAATATTTAGCATAGGTACACAAAAATCGTACTTCTGTATTTTTATTACAATTTCTCTTTTCCCTGAAATCATGTAGGAGTGAATACTTTCTACTTTGTATTTCAAGCATTGGTGAAATTATTTATCTCCTTACTTATCTCCCTTATCTCTGACAATAATCACTTATGTGTGAGTCAGAATTTTCCATGTGCAATTGGTAGAAACCTAACTCAAATTGGCTTTAGAAATAAAGGGAATTCATTCATAATTGAAAACTCTAGGAGAATCCAGGGTCTCAAAAATGTCAAAAGGAGTTGGTCTCTATTTTTCTTTCTGTGTATGTATGACTGGGCATGCGGGTTGCCTTCAGTAGCTCTATTCCTATATCTGACTAACTACAAATCCAGTGGAATGAAATGGATTCTTTCCGATAGATCTAGCAAAAATTATGGAGTTAATTCCTAGGCCAATTTGCCCATCCCTAAACTAAATATCTATGATTTAGGTGGCAGGGATTCTGGTTGGTCAGATCTGGGTCATGTGACAACTCTGCTTGTTTCAGAGTGATGTCATCCCTGCCAGACTCACATAGACGGAGACTGAAAAGGGGATCTTTACCAGAAAAAATCAGTATGTGGTTACTATAAAAAGAAGGAATAGATGTTGGTTAAAAAAAATAATAATAATATTATGGCATTTTGTAAGCCATACTCTACCTTATAAATATAGAAGGTATCATAGCCAATATCCTTAGTCTCCTGCAATCAGTCTCATCCTAAGTGGCCTTCAAGACCACACACATGCTGAAGTCAAAATCCTGTATAACCATGGAGGGAAATACTGCAAAGCAGCTATCTTGAGTATCAGATCACATTCAGTTTCCTCATCTTCCATATCTGGTCAAAATGGAGTAAGGGAGACCCGATTCACTCTCCTTCCTGAAACAACCAAGAAAGTCAAGTAAAATATATGAAGTGCAAATTTTTAAGACACTGGATTTCAGGCAAAAAATGACAGCGATCCCTGAAAGATGGCAAAGAAATGAGATGAGCCCTATGATTGTCCAGGTTACTGTCATGAGACGGTTTCCAGGCCACAAAATAGGGAAACGAAACTCTGGTAGAACATAATCTCTGTGTTGAGGAAAGAAAGCTGAGTGTCCAAGGAGAACAAATTGGTGGAGTCTGCAAAACAAAATACCAGAGAGGAGAGAGCTGCAGAGAAAGAACTTTGGGGAACTGCAGAAGATACCCTCTGAATATTCAGTAGAGTACTCATCAGTGTATGCATATAAGGAAATTACTAGAGAAAAAAAGATTAAATAAAACAGTGTTCATAGATGGCTAGAATTAGTTCCTGTTACCACCAGATTGGAAAACTTCACAATTCACAGTCAATAAGGTACTTACTGACGACTGAGCTTGACTTACTGACTTATTGAGCTTGCCTCAGTTGTAGGGAATAATGAGACTTGAATCTAGACTACAAATTAAATGTCGCTCTGGTTCCCTAATAAATCTTACAACAAATACCTAGAATAATAAAAATCATTCCAAGTAATTTAATTATGGCCCAGAATAAAACTTAAGAATATCTATAGAAATTCAAAAATATACAGCATCCAAAAAGGTAAAATTCACATTTGACATCTAACCAAAAATTAGCAGTCATGAAAATAAGAAAATACATGCCCTAAGAAGAAATCAACCAATCAAAAGTAATACAAAATTGAAACAAGTGTTAGAATTAGCATACAGGGATGTTAAAACAGTTTCTATAACTGTATTACATATATTAAGTAAGCTAAGTAGAGACATGAAATATATAAAAAGGCCCAGGTCAAACTTCTGAAGATGAAATCTACAATGCTTCAGATTTAAAATTCACTGGCTGGGATTAGCAGCAAATTACAAAATTACAAATCTCATAACAAAAAGTTAGTGAACTTGAAGACAGAGTAATACGAAAAATTCAAAATGAAACTCATACAGGAATAAATAATTTGAAAGAGTGAAAAGAAACATCAGCTACCTCTGGGACAACTTCAAAAGACCTAATATATGTGTAGTTACAGTATTCAAGAGAGGAGAGGCAGAACAATATTTGAAGACACAATGGCTAAAAATTTTCTATAGCTGATGAAAATTATAAATTCACAGATCCATGCAAGAAGTTCAATGACACCCAAATATAAGAAACATGAAGAAAACTAACTACATTGAAATATACCCTAATCTAATTGCTAAAAAAACAAAACAAAACAAAAAAAAAAACAAAAAAAGTGATACAGAGAAAATCTCAAACTCGCCAGGAGAAAAAAAAAAAACACACAATACATACAGAGGAACAAAGATGACAATGACAGCATTTTTATTCTCAGGAATGATGAAAGCAGAAGACATTGGAGTAACATCTTTAAAGCACAAAGAAAAAAAAAAAAAAAACAGCAATCAAGCTTGTTTGGATGTGTATCCCCACCCAAGTCTCATTTGAATTGTAATCCCCAATTTTTGTACAAGGGCCTGGTGGGAGGTGACTGAATCATTGGGGAAGACTTCCTCCTTGCTGTTCTTGTGATAGTGAGTTCTCATGAGATCTGGTTGTTTAAAAGTGTACAGCACCTGCCCCTTCTCTCTCTTCCTCCTGCTCTAGCCATGTAAGATGTGCTGCTTCCCCTTCACTTTTCACCATGATTACAAGTTTCTTCAGGCCTCCCCAGAATCAGAAGGCTGTACAGCTGGCAGAACCATCAGTCAACTAAACCTCTTTTTAAAATATAAATTACATAGTTTCAGGTATTTCTTTATAGCAGTATGAGAATAGATGAATACAGAAAATTGGTCCCTAGGAGTGGGACACTGCTATAAAGATACCTGAAAATGTGGAACTAAATTTGGAACTGGGTCATGGGAAGAGGTTGGAACAGTTTGGAGGACTCAGAAAGACAGAAAGATGAAGCAACATTTTGAAATTCCTAGAGACTTATTGAATGGTTTTAACCAAAATGCTGATAGTGATATCGACAGAGATGGGCAGGCTGATGAGGTCTCAGATGAAGATGAGGCATTTATTGGGAACTGAAGGTCACTCTTGCTATGCTTTAGCGAATGGACTGCTATCTTTGTGCCCCTGCTCTAGGGATCTGTGGAATTTTAAACTTGAGAATGATGATTTAGGGTATCTGGCGGAAAACATTTCTAAACAGCGAAACATTCAAGATTTAACCTGGCTGCTTCTAACAGTGTACACACATATGCATGAGCAAAAAGATGATCTGAAACTGGAACTTATATTTAAAAGGAAAGCAGAGCATACAGTTTTGGAATATGTGCTGCCTGACCATATGGCAGAAAAGTAAAATTCATTTTCTTGGGAGGAATTCAAGAAAACTACAGAAATTTTCATAAAAGGAGCCAAATGTTAATAGCCAAGACAATGGGGGAAATGCCTCCAAGCCATTTCAGAGATCTTCGTGGCAGCCCCTCCCATCACATTCCCAGAGGCACAGGAGGGAAGAATGGTTTTATTGGCCATGCCCAGGGTGCTGCTGCCCTGTGCAACTTTGGGACATTGCTCCCTGTGTCCCAGACACTCCAGCTCTAGCTATGGCTAAAAGGGCCCCAGATATGTCTCAGGCTGCTGCTCCAGAGGGTACAAGCCATAAGCCTTGGCAGCTTCTATGTGGTGCTAAGCCTGCAGGTGTGCAGACAACAAGAGTTGAGTCTTGGAAGCCTCCAGCTGGATTCCAGAAGATGTATGGAAACATCTGGATGCCCAGGCAGAAGTCTGCTGTAGGGGCAGAGTCCTCAGGGATAACCTCTACTAGAATAGTAAGGAGGGAAAATGTGGAGTTGGAGCCTCCACACAGAGTCCCCACTGGGACACTTCCTAGTGGAGCTGTGCATAGTAGATCCTTGAATAGTAGATCCACCGATGGCTTGCACTGTGTACGTGGAAAAGCCACAGGCATTCAACACCAGCTGTTGAGTGCAGCCATAGGAGATAAGCCCTGCAGAGACATAGTTGCAGAGCTGCCCAAGGCCTTGGGAGCCCACCTCTTGTATCAGTGTGGCCTGGATATAAGACATGGAGTCAAAGATTATTTTGGAGCTTTAAGATTTAATGACTGTCCCAATGGGTTACGGACTTGCATGGAGCCTGCAGCCCCTTTGTTTTGGCCGATTTCTCCCTTTTAGATCAGCAGTATTTAGCCAATGCCTGCACCCCCATTGTGTTTTGGAAGTCACTAACTTGTTTTTTATTTTACAGGCTCACAGGTGGAAGGGACTTGCCTTGTCTCAGATGAGACTTTGGAGTGTGGCCTGTTGAGTTAATGTTGAAATAGATTAAGACTTTGGGGACTGTTGAGAAGTGATTACTATGTTTTACAGTGTGAGAAGGACATGAGATTTGGGAGGGGCAAAAGGTAGAAAGATATGGTTTGGATTTGTGCCTCCCCACCCAAATCTCATGTTGAATTGTAATCCCCAGTGTTGGATGAGGGACCTGGTGGCAGGTGACTGGATCATGGGGGAGGACTTCCATGGTTTGGACTTGTATCCTCGCCCCAATCTCATGTTGAATTGTAATTCCCAATGGTGGATGAGGGGCCTGGTGGGAGGTGTGACTGGATCATGGGAGAGGACTTCCGCCTTGCTGTTCTTGTGAGAGTGAGTTATCACGAGAGTTGGTTGTTTATACGTGTATGACACCTCCCCGCTTCTCTCTGTTCCTCCTACTCAAGCCACATAAGACCCGTGCCTGCTCCCCCTTTGCCTTCCACCATGATTGTAAGTTTCGGGAGGCATCCCCAGAAACAGAAGCCTGTACAGCCTGCAGAACCATGAGCCAATTAAAACTATTTTCTTTATAAATTACCCAATTTCAAGTATGTATTTGTAGTATGCAAGAATGCACAAATACAAAGCCATAATACTATACTAAATAAAATGTTTTTCAAAAATGAAATAAAGACTTCTTAACATATATAAAAGTTGAAAGAATTCATCACCATCAGACTTGAGCTATCAGCAACATCAAAGGAAATGATTTGGGCAGAAGGAAAACAATACCAGATGGAAATATGTACCTATATAATGGAATATAGAGCAGTGATAATGGTAACAACATGAAAATATCTATCTCTCTATATACATATATATACACACATATGTACACATATATACGTATATATACACACATATATCTTATTTAAATGTCTTTAAAAGATAACTGTCTTTAGACAAAATAATTAAAATGTAATGTGTTATCGAAAACATATGTAGAAGTAAAATATATGCTAATAGCAATAAGACTGGGAGAGAGAAAAATGAAAGTAAACAAAGGCAAAGTTCCTATACTGTACATGAACTAATACATATTTTAAGGTAGACTGTGATAAATTATAGCTAATAAGGCAACAAAAGAGGAAAAATGCCATCACAAAAATGCTCAATCCAAATGAAGGCAGAAAAAAGTGAAAATGTACAATTAAAAGATGGGACAAATGAAATACAAACTAGAAGGTAGATTTAAGCCTAACTGTATCATTAGAAACATTAAATGAGAATAGTCTAGTCTTTTAATGCTCCAATTAGTCATAGTCTTTTAGTACCCCAATTAAAAGGCAGAGGTTGTCATGCTGGATAAAGAAAAACAATACCCGAGGATATACTTACAAGAAGTTCACTGCAAATATAAAGCCATAAATAAGTTAAAATGTAAAAGGATGGAAATCGGTATACAATGCTATAATTAATCAAGTGAAAACTGGAGTGATTAATACCACACAATCGATGCTGGGAAAGGAAGTAAAAATGTTATTTTCACAATGTTTGCTTGTATATATCAGTAAACAAATGAACATTTTGAATCCATGCAGAAGCTAATAAAATTTTACAACTGAGTCTCTGAAAATAAATAAAATGAAAAAGTTGAT